AAAGTCATTCGAGTATATTAGGCGACTCTAAACAACTATTTATATTTAAATTCGTACATTTTCAACATTATATATGTTATAATAATTACTCGTCCTATTTGATATTTTCAAAAATACCGCATGGGTGCCTAAGCTACTTGACAATATGTTAATGATTCTAATTCGGTAGTTCAAAGTTACTTTGAAATATTTCAATGCAATCAATTTAAATTTTTAAATTAGTTTTTTTTTTTTTTTTTTTTTCATGATACGCATACCCCGAAACTGTTGAAACGTTCACAATAATGAACGAATCGCTCTGTGTACAAAAATATACGTACACTCTCGTTTAATATTGTTCATCGAAATCTATATACCTGTATATACTATATATCTATCGGAATACTGTATTATTACTGTATTATATTGGTTTAAATTAAATTATTCGAATTTTTATTGCGTGTGGGTACGTATACCATGTTCCGAACACTTTATTAAATGTTAAAGATCTCGAACACAACTCGTAATATAAATTACTGACCCCGTTTGAAATATCGAATATATCTACAGCTGTATACTTAAAATCCGAGGTGAAATTCGATTTGCGGAGAACACCGTGCGAGTGTTGGGTTTCATACAAAATAAATTATTAGTCGCAATTAGCGATTCATTGATCAATATCCCGTACACAATAATTAGTTATAATTTTCAATCTGTAAAGGCTGAGAATAGATAGAACTATACCGAAATACTATATTAATTGTTATTATTTATTGCAAACACGCGCGGTTTTTATTTTTGTTATTATTTTTTTACGTTCCATTTGAGTACGTGTTTTTACTCTGGGGTAATTATATACGTAGCCGGTTACTATTATTGGAATTTCTAATGAATTATTATTTTCATTAGTTCGTGTAAAATATTTTATTTAATATCGCGTTGTTTAATGATTTTCAAAAAAGAACGCACTGCACGAAAACTAAACACACCTAGTTATAAATATAAAATCAAATTATAACCGACGACACTGTTGTTCGTTTTTTTTTTTTTTTTTTTTCATGTACCGTATCCTGGAGCATACAGCCTAGCTACGTTTAATTACGGTTTTTCACTCGATTAAATCGCATGATAATTTAGAACAATAATTATTCTAACATGGATTGTGTACATGACCGTAAAGCATTTTTGTATGATATACATTAAAAAAAACAAAATTAATGAAAAATCCCAAATCATCGGCATAAAACGAGAGTAGTTTGAGTCGTAATGTTGTAATATGTAATGCAAACTGCATATTATATATTATATGGATTTAAAAAATATATACAATACAATAGTGCATAATTAAATATATTTGTAGTTGTACGTTTCTTTAAAACGTCATTTGTCTGATATACAAATTGTATAGCAATTGAAGGTCTACCGGATACACGCCACTTAAATAGGTAACAAAACTCATTTACTATACTTTATATAAATGGGGATATTTAGTATTTACAAAAAATCTTTCTTTCTCTTTTATACGTACTCGCGTACGAATATTATCAACAACTTGCAACTTGATCACACCAAAAGGAACAAAGTTAATAAGTTCCTAAAGAGAATATTATGTAATATGTACTGTGTACAATTTAATTTTCAGGTCCTGAAGAGTTTCTATTATGATGAATTCATGAATGCCTATCTACTAAAAAGTCTGTAACAGAACCAAACTTTCCACTACACATAGGTACCTACATTATGTATCTAATTACTTGATATCTTCGCCCTTACTTACATAACAATTCAAAGGCACGTGCTTTTTTTTATTTATTTATTTTTTTTTTTATTTTCTAATTTAATTTGATGAAATTAATTTTCCCATATACGTATTTTTCGAAAATAAAATATTATTTTATTTAAAAAAAACCACTGCCGGTTTTTACGGATGATAATCAAAACATAATTTTAGTTTTTGAGTGGAACACGAAAAAATTTTTGGTTTTACAAATATGTTTGTTCCAAGAACATCTTTAGGTTAACACGAGTCAAATAGCATATATTTCATTAAAAACATTTCGATTTTTATGTACGTAAGAATGTATCTACTATATATAATATTTTGTTTCATTTTTTATGTTTGCCGAATAATAACATGAACAATGTACATCAATAGCATACATTATAAATACACATTTTTTTTTTTTTTTTTTAAACTTATATAATAAAAATAAATAAACCACAAACTATTTCATATTTAAAATTAAAAAAAATAATACAAAGAGAGGATTTTTTTTTTTTTTTTGTAAAACAACCAATCTCAATTTATAATTTGTAATTTAGTTTTACTAATTTTAATCGCATACCTACTACGGGAACCTTATTCTTTCCTAATACTTATTATTATAATTGAAATGTCCTTCATTGTGAATTATAAGCTATAATACACTTTGATAACATTTCATTTTTAAGCAACCACCTACGATTATAATTTCAAAGATAATTCTTTGTTAAATGTTTTGAGTGTAGTAATTATTTCAAGTAAAAACGAATAAACTAAAACAGATAAGAAATATAGTCGTATGGTTTATTTGAGTGTACAATTTGTGTTATTTTTTTGGAGGGGTGAAACCTAGTGTTTATTTTCGAATGTACCATAATTCATAATTATATCATTTTAGCCATAAATCCTACACCTAACATGCTTTGTCGTTTGAAATGTTTAAACCCCAGTAAGTATAAAGTTGCGGGAGGCTTAATAATTACCGAAGTTTCCCGGACACATTACCGTATAATAATAAACAAGAGGAAAGACGGTACCCGCGGCAGCGGTTATTCTTGTCCTCTCGAAGTTTACGCGCTGCAAAAGCTTAACAAGTTTAGTGCGTAACAATAGTCTTTTAATCGGACGTATCTTCGACGGAAATTTGAAAATATAATTGTCGAGTAGTAAACTAAAAAAAAAAAAAAAAAAATCATAATATATGAAATAATAATATTTATTTTTTATTATATGTTATTATGTACATACCTATACCTATTAAAGTATAACAATTTTATCATTGGTTATACGATTACTATAATCGCAAACTAGATCGCATTGTTCGAGTATACGTACAAACGATCCATTCGAAAGATTTAAAAATATTAATTAGAAAAATAATGATACATGGAAAGAAATGTGCAGAAAATGAAACTACTCCCATTTGGAACGGAAAATAAAATAAGAGTGAGGATAAAGCTCCGAAGAAACCAGATAATAGACTAAGTGGATGATTTTATATACCTAAGAAGTGCATAAACAACAACGGCAGAAGTAATAAAAGTATTTGTCAAACCAAAATAACTTTTAACAATAAAAAACCCTTTTAGCATAAAATTAAAAAAAAAAAAATCATTGAATATACACATATGGGTGCAAAATCTGAACAATAGCACTGGAGGAAAACAAAAAATATTGGACGCGTATTAAATGTGGGATTATAGGAGAATGTTAGTCAGAAAACGGATGAATGGACAGGTCATATAATACAACTGAATAAAACTGATTATAGAAAGAAGGGTAAAAGGCAAGAACCGCAAGGAAAGATCACGACACACAATAAATAATAAAAAAAAACAAAGACGTGACTCATATGTATATATATATATGTATAAAGTGGACATTAGAAAATAGTGGAAGATGGCTGCAGACCAATCTATGGATTGAAACTATAAAAAGAAAGAAAGAGAGACAGATGTGGATAAAAATGTTTTGGTCCATAAGAAATGTTTGAACATTTTACGAGGTTCATCATTGAACGTAATGTAGTCTTTTTTTACTAGCTTTTTAAGTTCGAATGTTTAAAATCTTACATATTACAACATTTCAATATATATATGACCGAATTTCGCTCAGAATTGTATTTCGTTAGTAATAATTTTTTGTCTCAAGTACATATATTAATTAAATAACTTTATCTATGTTTATAACACAACTTCTCAAATTACTACCTATTTTTTTATTATTATTATTTTTTAGATTCTGAGTTTACCAAAGAATGTATCAGTTTATAAAGATGCCTTTTTTATGAACCCTTTTTCTAAACGAAAATTGTCTTGGGGTGGTACTTTAGGGGATTCATTTTTCGATTTTCTCATCAAATGTGAAAAACCAAAAAAAAAAAAAAAAAAACTGAAGAAAAATGTAAGAAATGAAGATATTAGTTAAAATATTACGACTTTTTTCTTTATATTATTAATATTATATAAATATAAATTATTAAATAATAGTAGTTTTATTCTTTCCTTTAATCTTTATCTCAACTATTTGAGGTCGCTTAAACTCTATCTAAAATTCCACTTGACCCGATACACACCACACTCAGACGCCTGCCGTCATCATATTCTCAATCGCATCCAACCACCTTTTTTCCGACCTTCTTCTCCTTCCCTTTTCTCCTACGTCTATTTTCAATAGTACTCTTATTGCTTCTGATTCCATTATTAATTAATGTAGTACAAATTTTTTTTTTATACATATACATATATATATAAATAATTCCATTATTTATAAAAATTATAATATACATTATTAACATTTAAAATATCATCATTAATATGTGTAACAGTACCAACACCCATACTAAAAACTCACGTAAAATGCAATAAATTATGACGCGATCAATTTGTGGACCGTGTTGTTTTTGAGTGCATGGAAAATTTGTCTCGTGTACGATACGCTCTAACGCGACTGACATGTATCAATTATAGATAATGCAATTTATAGTGCACACTTCCTATTTAACAAACTGTACAGTACGCGCTGACCTGAATCATTCTGTAGTGTAGGTATAAGCATATTATATTAAATACGTTTTCAATGTCATATAGGTATTTAAGTATATTATATAATTCAACAGCTGTACTGGCCAAAAGACGGTCGTTAAAAAAATATGCTACGACGAATATTATAGCAACGAATATTATTTTATAGCTGTATTCTGTTAGATATTTACCTATATACGTAACAATACAAAATATACAAAATATTACGAACAAAGATGAATTCAAAGAAGACAATTCGAGCCGATGGGATTTCTCTGCTAGAGAACATTAACGAATTTAGCGAACGATTATTTCAGGAATATTCAAAACAATTATCCAGGTAAATTTCTTGCCTCGGAACTGAAATAAATACGCTTACGTGTTTTAATTTAAATTATATTAATGAATACATATTATACCGTACGTAGTAAACGTATAAAACGTACAGTACAAAGACTATTGATTTTATAAGATTGATAGTGCATAAATATTTATAATATTTTTTGTTACGAACAGCAGCTATGCGGGTGTTGGGGTGCCGGGATAACCCGCTTACTCCAACGCCCAGAAATAAAAATACGGTTTTAAGGGGTTGAAATGAAATAATAAATTTTTAATTTCTATCAAAAAATCATAACGAATTGTTCTCTAATTCGCGGCGCAATTTTCAAGTTAAAATTTCAAATTCTGGTGCCAGAGTAAGTGAGCTTATATGCTACCAACCCCGGTTTACAATACATATTTAATATAAAGAATTGAAACCACAGTATAGACATAATATTTCTACGAAAATTTGAAAAGTATAAACCATTGTTTCTATGCTATGTTATCTACACCTCGGATTTAACATCAAAATGTAGGTACAATATTGAACGTCAATGGCCGAGTATAATCAAAGCCAATAACGAACAAAATATTACTACCGCAAACGAACTATCGTTTTGGAAATATCCGGCCCGTAGGATTTCAAGAGCCGTTTCCGAACCGTGCCTACAAACCGTACGAGTGTTGGAAACGACGATTTTGCAAAAGAATGACAGTTTTCACGAACTGCGCGAAATCAATAGCGTGGATAAACGCACCCCGGCCGAATCATTCAAGCCCAAAATCATGACTTGGCTTTACGTGACCCGGGTGCAATGTTCCGGTATCAATTACACAAAAACCGACGACGATTTATTAGAAATGTTCGGTACGCATACACAATAATAATATTATGAAAACAAGGACGGATTGAACCGGTGGGCAGATAGGCAAATGCCCGCTGGGCCGATTACTTTATACTGAGCCTATTGGCAGGTGTTCCACATTATTTCGGTGAAAATTGTTTTTGAATTTGGTGCAGAAAAACTTAAAAAGCTTTCTTGGTGATGCGCGTAAAGAAATAATTTGTACATGATTTGGTGAAACACTATTAAAATAAATCAATATTAAATCAAATAAATACTATTTGATTTCAGTTTTTCGGTATTGACTACTTCAAAAATTGTTTGTTTTTTTTTTTTTTCAAAATTAGCCGCCACTAATTATGTCTAGTCCACTATAGTATAACACTGTCACATCGCTATGAAATTCCCGCTAACGTAAATTATTATACGATATAATAATACGTGGATAATAATAACTATTATTATACAGACGCCATGTTTCAATGGGAATTGCCGAACGAAAAAAAAATCATGTCTAGACTGTTTGCCGACGTGGCGAAATATTGTAAAAAACACGACTTGACCGATGAAAAAATGTCCACTCTATTGGGAATTTATCATTACACGCATTTCTATAATAAATCGTTGAACGTTCTGGGATTCCACGAAGTTTACAATTTCTTTAAAGAACTGATAATCCGTCATGCGGTTTTGGTAAGGCCGATTTACAATATAATATTTCATCGGGGGACCTATTATAGCTTTACATGCTGATGTGTATATATATATATATAAACCTGTTATTGTTATTATTTTTTTCTTCTTCTATAAATTGTTCAGTTCGCAATTAACAGCAAGCTAACAGAAAACGTTTAACAATTATAATGTAATACTATAGTAGACAAGAAGTCCGTCTAAATTAATAATTTTTATTTTTTATTATCAGCGTAATATACACTTTTAAGTTTTAAGGTTAGTTTTGGTATCGATATTTTGAATGAAACAACTCGTTACAACGTGTTTATCGACAAATGTTCACACAATGTGTGGTTTTAACTATTACAATATCACATTGTATATGAGTAATTTTTATGTGAAGATTTAAAAATAATATTTCTGTGTACCGTTGTTTACAAGGTTAGTTATATTTTATTTCTTTGTTAATGTGTTCGAAATTCAGCCTGAGGTCGTGACGCACGAGTGCACTATATTCTGTACCAAGTTGTTCGAAAATAGTGTTATTAAATGTTACTCAATATTGTGTATAATTTTAAGTTTAAATCAAATAGTATTTTAAAACCTCAAAAATTGACTAGTTTTGTCCAAAAAAAAAAAAATTAAAATCAATGTTTAAATGCAAATATTTGATAACCATTAAATTCTATAGGTATATTTAATTTTGCATAGTTTTTAATGCTAAATTTAAGAAGCAAAATATTCAAACCGCTAAAGTTAAATAACGTTTAAAACATTTTAAACTGAAAAATGTTATAAAGGTTTAGATTTTTATAAGATTTAAACATATAAATTGAATAACGTTTAAACGAGTAAATTTAATAACGTTTGAATTTCTTATAACGGTGAACAATGTTTTTATTTATGATTTAAGCCCTGGTTACAAAATAAAAAACTATATATACATTATAATGAAGTACTAAAACTAATTAATTTTTATGAAAATATTGAGATTAAAATGTTAAAAAATTCATATAATATATACGATTATACGTCGGTGCTAAATAATATTGAAATTATAATCAATTCATTAATTAAGATAAATAATGAACACTACAGTTTAATTTTGATAATATTTGCTAAATATTTAAGGGAAAAATCGATTAGTGCCCCCCCCTCCGAATTTTATTTCTGGCTATAGTATTCGCGGACACTGACACGAATTATGTACCTACAAAGTCATGGTGACCGCAAGTGTCTAAATAATTTACACTTAACCGTATATGAATCTGCAAGGGGAAAGTTTGTGTTGGAGGGATGTGGTAGAGTTAATTTCAAAATAGTATATTACGTCATAACTAATATTTGTAATTTAATTTTTACAACATAATATAATTGTAAGAACTAATAATAATTATATTTAAATTATTCTTATTGCAACATAATTATAATTACGACCTAATTTACACAGCTATATTAAGCCACAGTGGATAAAAGTTTAACAATAAAATATATAATTCTATAAATTAGAATTGTAATATCCAAACTGATTAGTTAAATATATACACAAACGAAACATTTCGTTTCTTTTACTAGTATTATTTAACTAATCGTGAGTATAGTATACATAATTATTAATTGGAGTGATAACATTTAAACGCCTAGTTGTGGTAGACACTTGATAGCTAATCTAACTAAAAAATATTTATCTGTTAACTATTACAACATTTTTTTTTTTTTTCTGTATAATGGTGATTATTTTTAAGGTTTCACTCGACTTGGCGTATATAATAATGGCAGCACGTTATTATTTTAAAAATGAAGGTCACCATTGTAGCATTTAACAATAATTTCAAATGAAACACCGAACAATTAAATATTTAAATACCGCAGCTAAATGATTTTATCGTCGTTTCTTTATAGTATTTCGAATTTATTTTTTATTTTAACTGTTGAGCAATTTAAGAAATACATTTTTTCAAGTGCCTATACCTACTACGAATTTATAGGTTTGATTTCCTAAACCGGAAAAATTTTGTGCATTTTTCCCAACTAAAAGTCTAAAATATCTAAAACTAATCTATTAGGCGTAATGTTTTAAAATATAAGTAACATACTTATGTTATACGAATCCAAATCCAATTTAATGTGATACGATTGAATTATTTCCTGTACTACGTATATTACATGAATTGAAAAATAATCATTTTTAAAATGATTTTAGAGCCCGCCGGACCATGTCAAGTTGTTTTCGGTGGAAGAAGCAAAACATATGCTAACACATTTTCTGAACAAGTACATAATTTGTTTGCCGTTAATTCGCCACATTTGTGTGCAGAAGTCAAGATTGCGCTTTCAATGAACGAGAAATGATTCGGTGGACCACAATATTTAATTTATATACTTTTTACATATTTTGAAAAATATTATCGAGCGAGAAATAATTAAATATATTATGTGCAATAAATGGTATTATAAATGGTTTACGACGAATCAATTTTTGCCTTATTTTTTCGGTGCAATACATTACACCGATTAATATAGTTATATAATTACTATTTTATACAGTTTCCTTTAAAAGGGAATCAATAAATATCACGAGTAAACATAATCAGGGCTCGGAAGTTACAGCGCTCGAAACTCACAAAAAAGTGCTTAAAAAAATATTTAATGAAGCAAAAATGCTAGAGGCGGGCTTTTAAGTTCATTTCTCTTACGGCTATAACTTATAAAATAACATTTTTCCAGCAATACACAAGTAACAATACAACACACAATGTAAAGTAATTTTATTTAAATAAAGTTGTACATATTTAAAAACAATTATTTTTATAGTGTTGGAAAATAGTATTTAATAAGTTAGAGCCGATAGACATTTTTAAATTCTTCTACCATTTTGAGATTCTTGTAAGTGCTCTTTTTGGAGAGTATTTGGCATTTTTAAGCATTTTTTTTTTTTTCAGATTTTAAGTATTAAAAGTACTCAGCCCTGAATATGAGTAACAAACGCTAATCAAACTTTATAAGAAAATAATTATTTTAGTAAAATCAGAATTACTCATTTTGCACGTGGTTCGTGAAAATAATAATTATGAATACAATAACAATACGACTGACAGACACACAAATGTATAAAGTATACATTTATAGAATAAAAACAGAATATTATATAAACAATTTTGATCAGGTATTTAGGTCAATAAATGCATAATCCATTGTAATGCGTAATAATATCCTTCTGTGACAAAAGTTTAATAATATATACTTTCGACTTTCAATGATATTTTTTTTCCATACGGAATTCAATAAAAGTTTCTGTCTATTATTACAAAAACTAAAACTAAACAAATAACGTAATTTAAATAATGCACTATTGTAAAATATTATAATTATTATAATAATACATATATTTGTAGATACATGTTTGTATACGTTTAATTAGGATAATAGAAAACACGAATCCATCAATTCATTAATATTAATCTGATACTCGTAGGTTTCTGAAAACGAATTTTCAAAAATAAATACATACAGAATGATTTTTTTCATCGTGAACCAGTAATTACCTCGGAGGATTTTAAGTGAATTTTATTTTTGTTTTTTTAATCATTGTGGAATCATTTGAGTTTTATTTTAAAATCATTTCAAATAATTTTTCTAGTCACAGATTCGAAAAGAGTATTTTTTTTAGAAACTTTGGTATGCATGGATAACACTTATATCAGGTTTCCCGTTTATTAGTTGTAACCGCTTAAAATTTAGACCAGAAGAATAGAGAAGAGTTATCAATTTATCATTTAAAAATAGATATGCAATTTATTACCCTTCTCTACTCTTCCGATCGGAGATAACGGATATAACTCAATTGTGAATACATTTTTGTACATGTATAATTATAATAATAGAAAACACGAATCCATCGATTCATTATTATTAATCTAAAACCATAATGATTAAAAAAAAAAAAAAAAAAATCTAATTCAAAATCCTTAAAATCTTCCGATTATGTACTATTACTGGTACATAATACAAAAATCACCCTATATATATTTTGATTTTCGTTCCCGAAACAAACAAAAAGTCAAAAACAAATATTGTCTAACATAATACTTACCGTATTATATCAATCGTTAAAAACAAATCTTTGTAGGATAAAATGATACAAACATACTTCGCACGATGGGTGAGCTACTGTTGTAGGAGAAAAGATAAGAAGGTAAGATATAGTAGAGAATTTAATGTAAATCTGTACGCAGCGATTAATCTTTGTCAGCGAAAAACGCTTTTGAGCGAAATTCAGTTACACATGTTTTATACAAGGCTATATATATATTTGGTCTTTTTATGTTTGAAAACAATACACTTCGTAAATTTCCAATTTTTTCTAAGTTTTTTCCCGGTTTTTCCGATTTATTATGAATACCCCTAGGAAACTCAAAAGTTACCTCCCTAAAGTACCATCTCAGTTAAGTTTTCCTTCAAAAAATATACTACACTTGAAAATCCTGGCAAAATTTAGCGTATAAAATTTGTTCACAGATAAAATGAAAATAAAAATAAAATAAACGTCATAATAAAACCCATATATTTTTCGTTTCGCTCAGAATCTAAAAGCATCGCATATGCTCTAGCTTTAAGCGGGATCGTCTCATTACAATCACGCGGAATCAGGTCACAACATTTAATAAGGTGTGATTAAAATTAAATAAGTACCTACATTAAATAACTGACTTCTCAGACACTCCTCTGGATCTGTCCTTGACTGTTTCCTTAAACTGCAGGACATTTAACATGATTAGTGACGAAAATTAACTATATTATATATAGTAAACAATAATAGTATCTAGTCTAATTATATTATCCGAGTATAATGTAAGAAGTGTTGTGCATCACGCCATCATCACCATGGTAATTGAAACAACAAAATTGTTTGACAAAAAAAAAACTACTTAGAGGTCAGTATAAATCTTATGCCAACGTTTTTAACAGCGTAATATAGTTATACTCCGCTATAAAACAATAGAATAATAGAATTCAAGTGAAAATCTGAATTCACTGCCATTTTCACACTCAAATAAAGAAACACCCGCGAGCAGCAAAACTCTGTCACTTGAGTCGGATTTTCCCCCGTCTATTTTGTATTGCAGCAATATATTTTGTAAAACAATAAATAACATAGTACTAGGTATACCCCCTAAAGCACATATTCAATACAAACGTCATGTTGCCATGCATACTGTACGACATTTCATCCTTCCCAGATTCATTTGAGGGTCTGTATGGGGTGTTCAGTGCTAAAGAAAAGATATGAACATACTTCACACGATGGGTGAGCCAGTGTTGTAGGTGATAAGTTGGGAAGGTGGAGGTGAAATTTAATGTATATCTACAATACGCAACGCAAATAAATGTGTTAATCATTGACAATAAAAAACGATTCTGAGGGAAGTTCAGTTAATAATATTGCTTTGTCAACAATATATATGTACGTCATATCATTACCATATTAGTTGTTTACACACACAGACACACACAAAACACATCATAGTAAAACAAAGCATTCCTCCTATTACTCAGAATCTAAAATATAAAACATTATTTAAACATCGTGGTAATGAGTGCGTACCTACGTATTATCCGAACATAATAATTTAAGGTAACTATAATAGATAGGTACTAAAGAACGTAAACGATATATTAAAAACCAAGATTAAAAGTATTATTGAATTATAATAAAATAAGTAAATAATCTAAAATCTTTTTGTACATTATTATAAATGAATGACGATAAACCAGTAATAACCTGTTATACTTAACACGAATAACAATATAAAAATCACCTTGGACCATTATTAGGTTTAATCCAAAGCATATTTGATAAAATCGAGGATTAGGTAAAATGAAATATGGTGTATTAAATAAAGGTATTAATATTGTTCACTTGAAAATATCCGTCCGCATTATTCTATCGGTACTTAATCGTTTTATCTCGTTTTAACGGTGCGAACAATTATGACGTTTATTTAATATTTTATTAATTACGTTATATAACGTAATGTAACTTGTTAATGTTTTTTTTTTGATAGCGACTTAAGTCACTTATAAATCTATATATTTGATCGAAACAAATAATATAATTTTAGTCTGCATGATATGAACAGATTAGTATACGTGTATTTAAACTAAATATTAATAATTTTACAGCAATTTTAAAACCACCTATCGATTTCGTACATAAATTATAATAACCGGTCATTTAACATACAGATTTAGTAATCATAACAAACTGAGTAAATATTTAATATGCATAAAATCCTGCGGTTCAAAATATGTTTTTGTTAAACGTTTAGTAGTGAGGAGTTACTGTTACAATGACGATAATATTATTATAATAGATAATATGTGCCTATCATATAATAATTATTGTTAATGAAGGAAATAATTTAAAAATAATTATTATTATTATTCCTGGTAACGAAAAATAATCTACAATACAACATATTTTGTAAAAGAAAACAAACCGAAATTTTCTGAATGAACGCGTGTAATTAAATATTACAAATATCGTTTGATGTAGAATAAAAATACCAATACGTACCTACATACATATTGATAAAATAGTGAAAATGGGGTATAAATATCAAATATTTTATGTAAAGAACTAAACCGGACTAATTCAATTTTAGAAACACGGATGGAATTGTTCGAATTTCATCGAATAAACTTCTTCTGTAATTGAATTAAAAACTTTGTCAGTCTGCCTCGAAATAATATTGAGAACGTATGGTGGAATGCCATTTTACATTACTCTCTACAAAAACGCTGCATCGCAAAATTGTAATGAAACATAAGGCAAAAAACAAATTTTGTTTTAAAATTGAATGAAAAATAATAATAATATTAGGAACATGTCGTTGAATACTAATGCTGTTTTGTCGATCCAAGAAAAAAAAATACAGTGAACTCAATTTAACTTATCTTTGAGTACCTATATTTTTAATTTAAGATTCACTAAACCGAAAATTCCGCCGTATCCGAAATGACAAATCTCAAGCAGAAGAAGAAAAAAAAAGATGTAATCAATTTAATAACATATAAATCAAATTACAAAATTTCTGCATCTCTTAAAATTATATAAAATATAAACTTTTGTATCCCGAAAAAAAAAAATAATAAAACGTGGCAAATTACCAAGTATATCCAAGTGCCAAATATCTTTTTATACAACGCACGTACACGTATTTATTATCAGATACTATACGATACATAGATACACTGGTAAAATTTCGGGTCACAAGGTCATGCGGTTTTACTTTAAAATATCGAAATAATTGTACAAGTTATAAAAATACGTTTAAAATT